AGACTGGGTTGCTGTTAAGGGCCTTAGTCTAAGTAACCACATTATGGGTGTATAGTGAATTAAAGGGTTTCCTCATTATAAGATTTGACTTGCTCCTTACAGTAACAGCGACCCAGTAGAAGCCAAACTGTCTACTCACGTTATCATCTAGTAAGCTTGCACACTTGTAGTTGTTTTACCCCCGCAGCGTCTTCCAATCATGTAGGACCCCGTGCTGCCCAAAGGATGCTCTTTACAAACCCTAGACTTACCGGTGGTTAGTAGGAAACAAATTGGGTTTAGGGTTGAGGGTTGAGGGTTTAGGGTTAGTAGGGAACAAGGGAATGTAATCCATACTCCCTATGCATGCTATCCAATGTCCCCTACTAACCCTCAGCCAAGGCCCCATTTCGAGGTGAGGCAGCCGCAAGACAACGCTGAGGAGAAGGTCAGGGACCAAGGGAACACCCAAGACAAAGGGTTCGATACAATGTGCTCCACTAGAATTTGCGGTAGGTTATCCTCAAGCCCTTAACCTCCCTTGTGGGTTATAAGAGCAAAGATGAACTTCTGTAAGTTCTACCGTAGATTCGAAGAATGTCATTCATGAGCCCATGGGAGGTTTTCAGTAAGCAGTGTCTTCCAGGACTTTTCACAACTTCTTGATGGGTTTAGGTTTTAGGAGTTGAAAGAAACCCTGATTCCCCAATCCAGCAGTCTCTAGATCATCCAAGGAAAACACCCTAAACCCCAAACCCTGCACCTATCCTTTGTGTAGCTGGCCACAGTAGGACACGGAGATCCGCGTCCTGATGAGGCCGCTGCCAAGCGAGGATGACCTTCGGCTCCTTGACTTCGCCATGGCCTAGAGAAATTGAAGGGGGAGTTGGGGTTTAGGGCTTAGGGATCCCAAGGAAATTTAGGGTTTAGGGCTTGGGGGTTCAGTTCTCCAAGGAGAGGTAGGGTTTAGGGCTTAGGGATTCTCAGGAGGTTTGGAGTTTAGGGATTCTAGGGAGGGTTCTTAACTCACCCCTATATAACCCCAAAGGGACCACCATAATTTACTGCAAATCCCTAGTACCTGTCCCCATAACTTTTGGGGATCCCAAATTGGAGACAGTCCCACGCGGGCTAAGAAGGGGATGTAAGGTTTCGGCCTGCAACAATTAGGGTTGGACGTTTTAGGTGCAGCGGTGCGGATTTAGGCCTTTGATGGGATTTAGTAGAGGCTTGCAGCTTCAGGGGGGAATCAAAATCACTGTTTGGGTTGGGTGTTAAGGTTTAGGGTTTAGGACTAGGGGTTACGCATCCTTGTTGAACTGGCCCTGGACTGATGGGAGAAGGCTCCTCATCTGTCTGGCTACTGGAGGATTCCTGACCCAGTGGCGGGCATGTAGTGTAGAGGCTTACATGATCGGCATCATTTCTTAAATAGTGTGGCGTGACAAGCAAAGTAGTCAAGGATGAAACGGAAAAGACAAGGAAAGATGAAGTGGACAATGGTTTCACGTAGTGGTGAAAAGGATTGTACTAATGCAGACACCTAGCAATTTGAACAGCATTTGGTCCGGGGACAGGTCGGGCTGACAGTTCGAAAGTTGATCTATCCATCAGGGCTGTTTATATGGCTTAGCATGCCGCTTCAAGATGCTATAAGCACGTGGCGAGCTGCATGAACACCCCTTCACAATGCATTATGATCAATGCCCTAAGCTTACAGATGCTTAAAAGGACCCCCTTACGTGCGGGTGAGGGTTTGGGGTTTGGGGCTTAGGGTTAGGGGCTCAGCGTTTTTTTTAATGATCAAAACTCAAAGCTCGCTGGTAGTTAGTTGGGCTATCCCCGCGAATCAAATTTCGTGATTCTGCAGTCTGTCTGTATGTATGTATGTACGTACGTACGTATGGATGGATGGAGGTATGGAGGTATGTAGGTATGTAAGTATGTAGGTAAGGCAGGCAGGCAGGCAGGCAGGCAGGCAGCCATATGCATGTATAATGGTCCGGCCATGTGACTACTTACAGCTAGTTCTAGTTTTCCTAGGACGGTATCACACTACGTATGAGCGCCCGTGAAGTCTTGCAAACCACAAACTCTAAAACATGCAATACCCCTGCAGGGTTTAGGCTATGTTGTTTAGGCCTTACAAGTCCTCAACACTGAGCCCCGTACCCCTAACCCTTTAGCCTTTACCCTGCAGATGTGGATCCTCAACCCAGACCACTGAACCATGAGATCCAAGGCCCGGCATGGGACAGTCCTTGACCTTCACGGTGTCGGAGCGCTTCTGAGCGGGGCTGGTCAGGGGATTTGAGAGTGGAGACTTAGGTTGGGCTCAGTTTCGGGTTTTAGGAGTTGGGACTTAGGGATTTGGGAAGATATGGGAATTGAGGAATTTTGGGGATGTAGGATTTAAGGTGGGGCCTATGGTTGAGTTAGACCTTAGTCTAGGGAGACTCTAGAGTTTCTTGTGATCATAGGCTTCAGGGTTGAAGGATTATGACTTAGTGTATAGGGTTTACAGCATGGGAGTGGGTAATGATCATGTAGGATGTTCAGGAGGCCTGACTGATCCATGGGGCTGATGTTGGCAAATGTTGAGTTTAGGGTTTGGGCTTGCGGGTCTTGCAATCCGGGCTCGCTGTTTGGGGGCGCCTTGACTGAATATTCAGTCCTAACATGGCCTAACCACAAGCAACATTGGGAAGCGATCCGCTAAACGCAACTTAATCTGCACGTATGTGAGGCTATCAACACAATGGTCCTTAGTTGGGCATCCTGAACAGACGAACATTAGGGCCCTATTGCATTGATAGCCGAATAAACTATACAATGCGTGCATTCCCCATGGGGAAGCTTGTTGCTAAATTGCCCTTTGTTTGAGGCACTTTCACTTGATTTCAGTTCACGTCACGACTCAAGAACCTTGTTCCTTTCGCAAGTAACTGTTGAAGGATGTATCTCGCTGGCTTGGATGAGAGGGACGATGTGTTTTTTTGATGCTTGTTTGTTTTCTCTTCAACAATGCCTCCGCGACAGGTAGTTTGTGCGCTCCCCAAACCTCGCTTGGGCCTTCCAGTCGCCCACCTAAATGGGTTCGTGTATTTAACAAACGCTACACCCTAGATGTCCTACGAAGCCTGTGTATTTCTTAGAACCCAAGTTATTTTTATTTATAACCATGTCATTTCCTATACTCCCCTTCTGGTATTGTTACAGATAGAACCTAACGCCCTGAACCAATGGATGCCCTGCTTCCTCCCTGAAAAGTCTGTGGAGGAGCGCGAGGACCTCTGGCGGGTTGTGCTTCTAGGGCCACGGGCACAGGCTGGGAATCAGTCCGCAAGATTGATGCGAAGAGTTCAGCATCCACTTGATAATCATTGCCCACCCCTCACAACAAATATTCCCGATATAGTTGTAGCGTGTTGTAGTACTATCATACATTGAGGTAGTACCTATATACTATGAGGGGGTTGCAAGGCTCATTAGCAGTTGTCTTGGACCTCTACATATCCCGAGTTTCACATTTAATTTCAATCTTCATTGACTCTTCAATCCTAAGCCCAAGGCCCTAAGCCCTACCTCCCCCGTCCCGAAGCCCGCAAGGTGGAAATCCCAGAGATCGAGTTCGTCTTTCAGGGTCGTGGCAGCAGATGTGTGGATACGGTCTATAATATGACCCTCGGCTTGAGTTTAGGGGGTTAAGGGGCTTTGAAGGGTTACGGCCTACAAAATGAAAGGATTTCAAAACAATTCCTACAGAATCCTGAGTTAAGATGCCCCCTTAAGGTTTTCAATGGCTCCTCATCTTGAATTGGGGACTTGGGAGTTTCTAATTATCGGGGGGAACCTTAGGACCCCTCATTTGAAGGGATTATGTAATGAAGGAATTGCAGGGGCTCCCTGCAAGAGTACACTCCCGGAAACTAACATGGAAACCCAAAAAGGGCCCTATAAAGTCTACTGTCCTTCTAAAAGGGGACTATATGGGTTTCCATGTTAGTTTGGGAGAGTGTACCCCAAAAGACACCCTAAACCCTAAACCCCGAACCCTAAACCCTAAACCCTAAACCCTAAATCTAGGAAGCTCCCATTTTCGTACGGCGGTGTGACATTGGTTGCAGGGCTTCGAGTTGAGGCCCTGTGCCTTTGTCGCCCAAACGGTTGGTGGATGAAGTCTCGCATGAGCGTAGAATGCAGCTAAATTCCCTACCGGGAACTGCAGTAGTTAATTTACTTTGGGACATGCAGGCTTTTTTTTGTCAACCAGTACCTGGACCCTGGATGTCCTCTTTTTTTGGCGGAATAGCCTACAAAATTATGGGACAAAACACCAAAGCGAAGGACATCCAGGGTCCAGGTAGTTGTACAAGCTCTGTAGCAACAGTACCGAGAATGTCTCAATGAAGTACTGGATGTGGCTGCAAATGTGCTGGGAAGGCTATAGTCTATGCCACGCATGTAGTACGACCCCTTTATGGAGACCCCCAATACATGCAAATAGATATGTATATGCACATCACACTATATGAATGAACCACTATATACTCCCTTGGGAGTGTGGGATGCATGCTACACATGTGAACTGGCGAGGCCCGTTCCCTGTGTTACTTTTCCGACTGGCCCTCGTGAAGCCCAAATGAGAGTTGTAGCGCCCCAAACCCCAAACACTATAAGCACCAGGGGTGGGATGAGGGCAAGCGACCATTTCAAACATTTACAGTCGCCATGGCGGGCTTGCACATGGGCAGTTCCCAAAATTAGCGTCACTTTTTGGTACCCCTAAATAGCAGGTGCCGTA